CACACACACACACACACACACACACACACACACACACACACACACACACACACAGGATCCCCTCATGGAAATTCCCCCCCTAAATTGTACCGGGACCTTGTCCTCCAAACCAAACCCGTTTCCACTTCAGAGATACTGATTACGAACTGATTAAGACCTTCCATCCATGCAAACTGTGAAGTCAAAGCACACTCGTGTTTATATTGTGATCCAAACTGAGCTTTGTGTGTAAAACAGATTGTTTTCATGAGGATGCATGAAGAAAAACATGGGGGAAACTCAGGAGAACTCACTTTTCTGAGACTCTGGAACTAGATATATTTTTCGGGAGGGATACGATGTGATCTACTTCAATTTCACTTCCTTGGAAAATATGACAGTAACTGAAATTACAGTACATCCTATCATCTTTCCAAGACGCATTTAGCATCATTACTAACGGTGATATTTTGTCTTGCAAATGTTCTGTTTGCTTTTGATGAGGAACACAATGCAGTGACTATGGACGCATATGAACCTGATGTTTTACATTTGAATACTAAAGGTCTAGTTAAGTACTTATGTACGGTGATACGACAGCATATGTTTCACTTTTAAATGTGATCTTCATTAAGATATGCAGATTTATGTGCTGCACTTGGTTTTACCTTTAAAAGGTTGATTCACAATGTCTTAAAACAATGCCCACATGAGGGTATGTACACTGAAACCATTTGTGATTGTTCGGATCCACTTCTCCTGTTCATATCGGCTGATAAAAGATGTCTTAATTATGTACTTTTAATGAACGTAAGTGATGGGGGGCAAAATTAAGTCCTTATTTGGACTAAAAAACTGTAACTTTGGAAGATACACACTTGACTTTGGTTAACTATTTAGCTTCAGATCAGCTTTGGAATATATTTTTTTACACAAAACGAGGACTGGATTTTGTCCACATACACTTACTGTACTTACTGTGGGAAAACTAAACTAGTTGTGGGCAAGAGAGGCAGCTGCTTGGAGCCATTTGCCTCCATGTCACCTCTGTGGAAAACAAAGCTACAGTATATATCACCCTTTAGTACCACCCACAAACCTTCCCATGTGTGAGCACATGCTCACATGTGGTTTCATGTAAACACAGGGTGTCTTTCTTCTCGCTTTTCTAATGTTAAATCATCACAGTGATCCCGACTGTGACTGTGGTTTGATGAATCTTAGTTTCTGCTGTGACGTCCCTAAACTGCTGCATCTTCTAGAGTGCTGTCTCATCACAACATGTTCAGTAAGATGGGAGCTGCCTTCTTAAATTCTGTCTGCCAATTTCTCCACTTCCTTTCATTCATTCTACACTTTACACACACACACACACACACACACACACACACACACACACACACATATATATACAGGAAGACACACTGGTTTGGGAGGAAGAGATAGGATGGAGAGGATGGAAGGACGACACGCACACACACACACACTCACACACGCGCACACCACACGGTGATACAGCATACTTTGGCTCCTCCCCCCGGTGGTGCTCATGTCCACCTTCAAACATCACACCACTCATTTAGCCCCGCCCTCCTGTCAGCCTCATAGATATTCGTTGGATGTGACTCGGACCCCACAACATTTTGCTGGCGCTCGTCTTTTTACGCACTCTGCTGTCTGCCCTCTCCGTCTGACCCAGAGCCTTTTGTTTTGCGCACAGATCCTGCTGTGCACTCTTCATCTCTGCGCGCATCGTTCCTCTACTTTAGCGGTCCAAAATAAGGACACACGAGGAGGACTGGACATGTTGGGGATGTGGAGGGGACTCGTCGGGCTGTCCTCATGTTGGTGCCTGCTGATGCTGGTTCATGTTTCGCCTCAAGCAGGTAAGAAATGTGATTTCCTGGAGTAACCTTTTCTAGAGGGACGCACCAGTGTGGCGAAGTTGGCGAAGCTTATTTATTGCGGTTGCACCTATAACTATCAAGCATATTCCACAAATCAATATGTTATGCGTCACGAGAAATATTTGCATGGTGTCTTGTGGTGTTGGGATTGTTTATATCGGCCGTTTACGAATGTAAATGTTTCCATGAGCTTCCATTACTTTGAGATGAGAAACATTTGGTTCATTCAGAATTTTATTTCAAATTGAATAACTGTGATATCTACACTAAGGACATGGGTCATACATTAATAAGAAATACAGTGTGCTTTACTATTTCAGAGTTATATGAATGAATGTACACACCGCGCTGTAATTGGTTTGTTGTTCCGAACAGCCAATCAAACCCGTCCGTGCTGCCGGCCCGGTTCAGGTTTCAGGTGGGCGGAACAAACGCAGAAACAGGCGGTTAGTCAGCGAGAAAGGGCGCAGCTTAAAAAAGCACCATCCTCTTTGCAGCGAGCTGGAGGAACTAGGATGCTGGAAAATCTGCATTTTTCTTTTAGCTGGACAAGTCTGTGATAATATCTGAGCTTCATATTGTACATATTAAAGCCCCAGTCCACTTATAAGACACCACTAGTCTACATACATGATGCACTTTCCACCCCGAAGCATAAAAGAAAGGAAAAATAGGTTCATAGGCTAGTAAACTTTATCTTTATGGTAATTGGAAACAAATTGCATGGTTCTCTACTGGAAGGAGAAAGAGGGAGATAACAGGCCGTATAAAAACAAGCAGAATCAAGCCTGTTGAAGAAAGTAAGAGGAAAAAAGATGCTTGTTTTGGCTTCTCTGAGATAAGCATACTGTATTATGGGCTATAACATGTGACACACATTAAGAAGTGATGAGTTATAGGCCGCATATAAAGTATTAATACTTAATTGACATGCACTAAAACATGTTAAAATCATCCTTAATTTTAGTCCCACATCATCACCATTCAGTTTGGCCACAAATGGATTACTTCAATATGCCATTTATTTTCATGGAGATAACACAATTGGGGAAGGAGGTAACCTAAGGCCCCTTTAAGGCCAAAAAATATGCCGAAAATGAACCTGGCTTCAACCCCCATTCTGCCAGATAGTAATCCCCCGATAATCTCAACTCTGCTCCATGAGCTTTTCAGATTAAAACGGTTAAAAGTTATTTTCTTTTTTTAGTTCAATGCACTCGCACCCATTCATCGGATCTAGGATTGTGTGTTAGGATGTTAGAGGGAAATATTCACGCGTTTCCTTCTCTTTGGGTGTAATGTTGGAGCCCTGGTTTGTTTAATGTATTCTCTTTGTGTTTAACATTCTCCTGAAATGAGGCATAGCCCTGCGCAGTAGTTTTTAAAAAAAGCCACAGGGGTTTTTTTTTTCCACAGGGGAGACCAAACTTTTAGACTGCAGTGACTCACAGGGACAACACTTTCACCTATCAATCATCTAGAAAAGCCTCTGCAGCACGCTGTACAATTAGAGGTCTGCAGGGGTAAAACCCTGACATCAAGCGAATGCTGGACAGGAAATGTGCAGCAGTTTCATATACGTCTACAGACGATGACCTCGTTATCAAGTATGGCACTAACTGTACAGTCTTTTAACTAAGATGATCAGAAGGGTTGTTGGTGTATGGGAATCCAACTAAATTCAGCCACATTACTGCACAGCATTATTAATTTACTACCAGAAACCTCTAAATCTGTCTTAATAAAGTACAGCTACAGGCTATTGCATAAGTGGCTTTCTCCTGGGGCACGTGCATCACGGTTATCAATTAACTGCTGGCTGTATGTTTGAGTCAATAAACACACACACCTCTTTGTGAGGGTTTTTGTTTTTGTATTACATGCATGTGCCTTAAAATGACAGGAATGCATTGTTAGGGGACAAAGCATTTAGTCACAAAAGGGGATTGTTGTCATGCAGCGTTGTGATGACAAAGACTTGCCTAACCTCTTCTGAGTATCTGCCATTCATTCCACCAGTTTGTGCTGTCAAACAAGTATGAGTTTCCATACATTTTGGAGTGAATCGTAGCAGTGTGTGTGTGTGTGTGTGTGTGTGGTTGTTGTACTCGAATGGCCTTACATGGTGGTGTTATGAACAGTGTGCTGGTTGTCAGGTTCACACTGTGGGTATAAATAGCATCTGAAAGATGCAGTTTCTCTGCAGAAGCAATTGATGCACTCTGCTTGACATACTGTTTACCTGAAGTATCAAAACTATGCTCAACAACACATTCAAAGTGGTCAAATTTGAAGTAGATCTCAAATAAATATTGATGATTTAAAAACTGTGAAGCGGAACTTTTCACCACAGAAAGGACTTCCCGGTAAAGAATGAAAGGAAACCTCTTGCTGAACATTATTCTTGACCCATATGTGGAAGCTGTAAGGAAAATTAGCGGTGGAAAAATCAAAACGTGGGCCTCAGAGACGAGGTCGGGAGTTTGGAGGTCAGCGTTTGACCCACTTTTGCTTCCTCCTCTGCGACTGGAATGAATGAACGCTTCTCAAGAAAGGAAAGTGAGCGAGAGTTGCCCTTTTTTCCATTGTGCATAGAGTCACCGCATATCTTCAGGAACAGCTGGAGCGTGCTTTGGAAAACTCTATTCCTGGAATCCATGCCTGGCACCCCCCCCCCCCCCCCCCCCCCCCATGTGTGTGTGTGTGTGTGTGTGTGTGTGTGAGTGTGTTTTCGTGGTTTCCCTGAAGGTGTGAGCGTATGGGGTACACAGGAAGAGCCTCTCAAGATCAGCCAAAGTTTTTCCACTAATCAGTGAAACCCCGAATCGATGCAATGTTCCCAAACAATAGAGCAGATTCAGAGGAATCCTCACTTCTGTTTTTTACATTTTCAAAGAAGGAGGGCTGTGACTTTTGGTAGTAAACCCAGGATTGAGAAAGCGTCCTCTCCCTGTTTTACAATTTCCTGAACGACCATTCTGTCGTAATCCATCAGACCTGTACCCTCCCTTTTTTAGCTGTCATCATATATTGACACACTCAAGTTGACAGACTTCCTTGTGTTTTAAAGACTCCGCCTCTGTCTGTGGGTCATCTTGGTAATGCTGTTATGAGGAATGTACCAATCAGCAACTGGTGGTGTGATTGTTCGACTCCTCCCATGCTATTGTCTTAAAGCGAAAGCCTGTCATGTCCCCGGCCTCCAGGTCACAGGAGAGACTGGCAGTGCAGAGGTGATGAAAGTCACTTGAGCGTGAACTTCCTTCGTTGGTTTCACAAGTGCCTAGGTGTCGACGCTCTCTTCGCTTTCACTGGCGGTTTTGTTGAGGTGTGATCGTCTCGGGGCAAAGCCTCTGAGCCCCAAGACAACCGGGGTCAAGCTTGGAGGTCGTCGTACCTCTTCAAACTTTCAAACCTCAAGCAGGGAAGCGAAGCCGTCGCCACTTACGTGACAAAAGAGACACGTGACACGTGCAAGTCCTGTTCCTTAACCAGAAATGTGTCAAAGCAATGAGTAACAGAGGTGTGTGTGGCTGGGTTGAAGCTGCTTTTGATCAAAGGAGATTCCTACCAAAGCAGCAACATCAAATAAAGCACATTTTTGTACATCTAATGAATATTTTTCAGTCTGTTTCTTACTCTTATTTATGATCTTTTCTTCCATTTAATATTTTTTCCTCATTCAGTCTCATTTTTACATCTTTATTTATTTCATAAGATATGGACTTTACTTCATTTCCTTTCACTTTATGACATTAAAGTTGAATTGATTTGTGACTGCATGAGTGTGTAATGGGGGAATAAAGAAAGACAGGACTACTAATTTTGTGTTCCCCCAAAGGAAGGGCCTGGTCTGTCCATAAACGTGACATTGAAGCCGTATTACTTCATATCTTGTTCTGACATGAGTCAGGACAGTGTCACATAGTGTTATCATAATTGGGAAATCTCCTCTGAGTCAAGCAAAGAGGAAAAGGTGTGGCTTTCACAGTTATCTGAACGTCGGTGGCCTTCAATAGTAGCTTTTTTTGTCCCGTGTGTAATTTTCAGTGAATTATTAACCTCACAATGATACCAGTTTGTTTTGTGTTGACACAAGCTCATTTTTCTACAAGGTACTCACGTGCAGCAAAGTGTAAATTCAGCAGTAGATGCTGATAATGTCAGTAGTTTGTCCTCATGAACTCTCTTTCTTTCACTCACAGATGCAGCCTATATATGCAGCTCCACTCAGTTGACGTGTGGAAATGGGAGGTGCATCACCAGCAGGTGGATTTGTGATGGAACCGACGACTGTGGTGATGGGACCGATGAACTTCCTGCAACCTGTGGTGAGTTATTTCATCACTGACGAAAATGAAGGAAGTAAAACTAAATGTAAATAGTATTACAACTAGGGATTATTTTCACTACACTTTACCAATAATCCGCCATTGATTTCATTCATCAATTGTTTTGATTACGATAGTATTAAAAAAAGGAGTGAAAATGTCCAAGAGCCCAAAGTGACGTCTGTAAAATGTGTGTATTATATGACCAGCAAAAAAACAAAGATTTTCAATTTTCTATCATATACGACAAAGAAAAGCATCAAATCTGCACAATTGAGAAGCTGGAACCAGCAAATGATGGAATTGTGCTGAAAAAATAAGAAAATAATGAATTCATTTTTAGAATTGATTTAATTGCATTTTATATTCATACTGATGGATTAATCAACTAATTGTTACACAAATGAATGCAAAATATGAGAGAAGTAAAGCACAGAACTGTTATCTTCTGCTCATAACATAAAGTCAGTGACGCAGAAACGCATCAATGCAGCAACACTGCACAACAATAGTTTCCATAATGATCGTTCAGTTTTATACTGTAGCTGCATCACAGGCCTGATCTCTTTAAAACATGAGATCATTTTCAACCGCACTTCCTGTTTCTGTCCTCAGCAACAAAAACATGTCTGCAGTCAGAGTTCAACTGCGGCGCTCCCACCAACCAGTGTATACCGGGAGCCTGGCACTGTGACGGCAGAGCTGAATGCATCAACGGCGCTGACGAGAACAACTGCAGTAAGTTGCATGTATAATTATTCCACACTTTTTGCTACATTCGAAATTCAGAGCGTATCTGAGGCCTCTGCAAGGACCCCCAACATGGTGACGACTGAGCCAGCGGCTCTCAGCTAACGGGACTAACAGCGCTAATTGTCCAAACAGCAGCAATAGCTAACAGTGTTATCCTGAAGGGTGAGGGGAAACTGATGGATGGGAGCGGCTCTTCTGCTACGATGCCCTCCGCAGTGCAGAGCGGCCGCCATCAGCTAGCCAGTGCGGCACGCTCACACGCACTAACATGCACTTAAATGCATGTGCGGCTGGCCCGGCCATGTAAACAAAGAATGGAGACGCTCGGATATCAACACGCGCAGAGGGAGAGTGACGTCATTGACTGCTTAGGTGGACATTACCCCACTTAATCTTTACATTAAAAAACTAGCTGTTTGCAGCTGTATCAATGCTTCGGATGTCGTATAAAGAATATTCAAACATCACAAACAATATCAACTTAATACATAAAAACAATCAGAATTGTGAAAAGAAGTGACTTCCTGGTCTGGCCAACAAGAGTACAAGGGTCCTACAGAATTACATTTGTTTTTAAAGATAAGATAAGGGAGGAGATAAGAAATTGAAATAAATATTTAATTCAAAAATAGCATTTTTAAGAATGGAATCAGGTGGAGACTAAAATGCGTCCTGTGTCTGCAGATTGGAGTGTAAGTTATTTCAGTTATTGCAGCAACAAACAACAAAACAATTCTGATGTCCAGATGATATTTGGAAATGTGGTATTTGGAAACAAATATAAGGTTGTGACACCAATAAATATATCCATGTTGTGTTGCTGTCGGTGTAAATTTCACATCTGATCCATTTCTAGCCTAAACATCACATGAACTCCTCTCTTCTCCCTCTCCTGCCTCACCACAGCGGCCAAACAATGCAGCGCTGGCGAGTTTCGTTGCGCCAACGGCCAGTGCGTATCCACCACCTTCATTTGCGACGGCGACAATGACTGTTCAGACAACTCCGATGAGGCCTCCTGCCCCAAACCCAGCTGCAGCCCTCGGTCCTTCCAGTGCAACAACTCGGTGTGCGTGCTGGCCATGTGGCGCTGCGATGGAGACAAGGACTGTGCCGACGGGTCGGACGAGTGGCCGCAAAACTGTGTAGGACAGCAGCCGGACAAGAAGGCGGTGCGCTGCGGCGCCAACGACTTCCAGTGTGCAAACGGGGAGTGTATTGACGGCAGATGGAAGTGTGACGGAAGCTTTGACTGCCAGGATCAATCGGACGAGGTCAACTGCAGTGAGTTGGCTTTCTTGGAGTGTTACAGCTTTTTTTTAAATTTCCATCCATCTTCCCTTCTGCAAACCTATGTTCCTCTGATAAACATTCTCCAAATCATATTTAGCTTTAACCCTAATAGGAAACTGAGCCTAACAGATGAAGCCTAGTCACATAATACTGTTGCCGTTCATAGCCACCTGCTCAGTATCATCAATATTGACACAAGATCCACAACAAATCATGTCTGTGAGGATTTTCTCCTCATTCTATGTCATGTAATTATTATTTCCCATGTCTCATTTCACTGTCTCTCTCTTTCTTGTTTTCCTCCATTTCTCTTCTTCTCTAGGTCATCCCACTTGTCGCCCAGATGAATTCCAGTGTAATGACGGCGCTTGTATCCATGGCAGCCGCCAATGTGACAAAGTGCCCGACTGCAGCGACCTCAGTGATGAGATTGGCTGCCAAATAGGTGATTGTTTCAACCGCGCACTTAACTGTATACACCCGCTAATATTTTAGGAGCCGTAGAAAAGTGGTAATGTCTTTGCAGAGCAGTCTCATGCCATTAGATTACGGTTGTATTCACACTCCCGTTCTTTTCCACAGAAAATGTATGTGAAGGCCCCACGCAGTTCAAGTGTCGCAGCGGGGAGTGTATCAGCATGGACAAGGTGTGCGACAAACGGAACGACTGCAGGGACTGGTCCGATGAACCTATCAGACAGTGTGGTAAGTGACGTCTTATTTTACCAGCCAAAAATCATCAGACCAGGAAGTGCATAACATTTTGGGAATAGCTCCAGAGCTCCGGCTCCGTTGGCTGCTCGTAGAAATTTAAAAAAATTGAAACCACATCACAGCCTGGAAAATATGATTGGAGCAGCTAGCCCAGCAGACTCTGCTGAGTGGCCTAGATAGTTTGTGGTTTGAATGAGTGAGTTCACCGTGTATTTGAGCTACAATTAGGAAACTGGTTGTCAGGAATACTGAGTAAGCTCTGTTGTATCTGCGTCTCCACAGACAAAAACGAGTGTTTGACTGGAAACGGTGGATGCTCCCATGCTTGCATTGACCTGAAGGTCGGCTACAACTGCTCCTGCCCTGCTGGATACAGCCTGAAGACGGACAAGAAAACCTGTGCAGGTGAGAGGATGGGAGTCTGACATTTCAAATGTTATCTATTTTAGAGGTAGGCTGTGACCAGCTTTAGCTGCATGACATATATCTGTATTAAACTTGACTTTATTTGCAAACTGCTGTCTTTCAATTTGCACCTTGACCTTCTCTTCCTCCACCTGCAGACATTGATGAATGTGCTGAGGCGGACACTTGCACTCAGATCTGCATCAACCTGCCCGGCAGCTACAAGTGTGATTGTGAAGAGGGCTACAAGATCGACCCCAGGAGCAAGACATGCAGGGCCGAATCAGGTAATGACAGAAAACCTCTCCTCACCCGGGACTTCCTCTCAGGACTAGCTGTCGTCTTCATGGCCTATCGATTTTTAGAGCTAAATTCAAAACTTTTTCTTCCCTCCTCTTCCCGTGTACCTCAGGCACCGTACCCACACTGTACTTCACCAATAGACACGACGTGAGGAAGATGACGGCGGACCGCAGCGAGTACGTCCTTCTGATCCACGAGCTGAAGAACGCGGTTGCTCTAGACATGGACATGCCGAACAAGATGATCTTCTGGTCCGACCTGTCTCTGAAGAAAATCTACAGGTAAAAGAATTTACTGTAGATTTTATCTATTTCTGTTTCTGTATCAAGGTGTGCTGCAGCAGCAAAGCCTGTATCTATAACCCTGTATTGCATTTTATCTCGCTCTAAAGTAAAACTCCCCACCCTTGTATGCCTCCCGACAGCTCCAAATTAGACGTGGCCGGTAACTCCTCTCAGCACTCTGTGGTGATTGGCAGCGGCATTGAGGCCCCAGAAGGCATCGCGGTGGATTGGATCCATGGCAACATCTACTGGACCGACAGCGTTTTGAAGACTATCTCTGTGGCAACGACAGACGGCAGCAAGAGGAAGACCCTGATCACAACAAACCTGCAGAAGCCAAGAGCCATCACAGTCGACCCTGTGAATAAGTAAGTGAAGGATTTCAGATTTGTGAAATTGCTGAAATTCTTTTTATTTGTTGTTTAAGTTTGGGTTCAACTGGAGCATTTAGTTGTGATGTCTTATTTCTAACTATTGATTGTCATCTATAGCTTTATGTACTGGACAGACTGGGGTGAGGAGGCCAAGATAGAGAAGAGCGGGTTGAATGGAGCGGATCGCGTTGCCTTGGTAACAGATAACATCATGTGGCCCAATGGCATCACCCTCGGTAAGCAGAATGTCACGGAAGCACTAAATGGAAACTGTATAACGAGCACACAGTGATATTGACTGGTCGAATCTCTTGAACATGTGTGTTTCCTGCTCCCTCTGGACAGACATGGTCAACCAGCGTCTGTACTGGCTGGACTCCAAGATGCACACTCTGTCCAGCATTGATGTGAACGGAGGGACACGACACAATCTCATTTCCGGCAAGGAAAAGCTGCCGCACCCCCTCTCTTTGACTGTCTTTGAGGTAAGTGATGAAGTCAATGCACTCATTAGAAAGTAATCCGGTTCATGCATGGTGAACTTTATCCAGCTGAAATGGTTGAGAAGTATAAAGCTGACTGTGTACTTTATTCCCTTTTTTAAATTTAGATCAGTGGTGCTAATTCATTAATCTGTTTGTGTTTAAGGAAACTTAAAGCAAATGATGAATTTTTTTAATTAAACAAAATATTGTTGGCAAACTGTAATACTCAAGGTGCATTTCTCTTTTGAACAGGACAAAGTGTTTTGGACAGACATGAGCAACAGTGCTGTTTTCAGTGCCAGCCGCCTGACCGGGAGGGACATCACTCAGCTGGCGACGGACCTGAACCAGCCAGAGGACATCGTGCTGTACCACAACCTCAAGCAGCAAAACGGTACCGACATCACTCGACCGGACAGCTATCGTAACAAACAAACTGTTGAGGCCATATAATGATTTCCTCTGATCCACCCATCTCTCTTGTAGGTACAAACTTGTGCAGAGAGAGTGGCAGTGAGAATGGAGGATGCGAGTTCCTGTGCCTCCCTGCCCCGCAGATCAACCAGCACTCTCCTAAATACACCTGTGCCTGTCCTGACCACATGACCATGGGACCCGACATGAGGACATGTGTGACAGGTAGGCGCGCCCTTGCACATGGCACTACAAATATACTGAAATGTAACATTAAATCATGACGGAAACCCTTTTATTTATTTATTTATTTATTTACTTACTCCCAGCAGCCTCAGTTGCCCCTCCTCCCGAAAACAAAACTGGTGCAGCGCTCCCGCCCAAAGCTCCCACCGAGCCTGCTGCAACACCCAGGCCGGCTGTCACCACCATTTCTACAACTACAACTACCACCAAAGAAGCCACAACTACCTCGTCTGGCCCGCAAAGCACACAGCAGCCTGCCGCTACTGCTCAAGGTACAGGAAGGGGTTCTGGATTGTGTCTGATGAAGTGATTACAAAATATCTGTCTAGAAAATTCCCATCAGAGTACGTCATTGCCCTTATTCTATGGCCACATGGCAATGGAGAAAAAGGCAAGCTGAGTTTAAAGTGTTCGCCGAAGGATAAATGTTATTTGTTAGCATTATGAACATGTTAGCATGCTGACTCTAGCATTTAGCTCAAAGCACCGCGGTCACTGAGTAAAGCCTCAACGAGTCCTATTTAAAGATTTTGTGTTTTTAGCTAGATAACCCATAATTACTAGTTTCACCAGTGAGTTAACCGGTACCATGTAGCATAAGTATTGTTGTTATGGTTACCTGCAGTTTGATATACCTTGCACAATTATTTCAAACTGCAGTTAAACTGTTGATCTGAACTATGTATTTGGTCTCCTGACAGACACTTCCCAGCATGCATCAGAAGCGTTACCTTTCTGGGGCCAGTGAAGTGATCAGTAAACGTAAAAGTTTCACTGTGCTTCCCATAATGCATTATGACGTTTCACGAATGTTTCAACATTAGGGGAAATACACCTATTCACTTTCTTGCTGAGATTCACATGAGAAGATCGATGCCACTCTCATGTCTGCACAGTAAAGATTAGGTCATAACCAGTTAGCTTAGCTTAGCATAAAGACTGGAAACAGGGTAAAGTCTGTGACCAAAGTTAACAAAGTCAGCCTCTCACAGCCTCTGAAGCTCTACAACTTTATTGAATAAGGAAAACGGTTATATTGTATTTTCTGCTTTTTCAGGTAACCGATTGGCAGCCTTGTCCGAAGAAGCCACTTCATCCCACCCGATTGCTCTCTACGTGGTGTTGCCAATATGTAAGTTCCATATTTCAGCTCCTTGTGGCTGTCTGTTGAATACTCACCCACACATGCAACCCTAAAAGAGCTGAAATCTGCACTAATTTTCACTACTTCGACCAGCCTTAGTGACCTTCAAATCTTGTTTTGCTCTGCAGTGGTCATGTCCCTGCTGGTCTTTGGAGCAATGATGCTATGGAGACACTGGCGTCTGAGGAACACCAACACCATCCACTTTGATAATCCAGTGTACCAGAAAACCACGGAGGATGAGATGCAAATCTGCAGGAACAGCTCTGAGGGCTACGTTTATCCTCAGGTATCTTCACTTTGATACCAAGTCACTTTATTGTTCATTAAATATAGTCTCTAAAAATAGACTAACTATGTTGTTTGACAGCTTTAATTCTTCAGTCTTACTTTCTTTTCTTGTTGCAGAGGCAAATGCTGAGCATGGACGACATGGATGTTGCATGACGACCCAGAGATGAAGAAGACACTAGCTGTATTTAAAGTGATTTTGTTTTTCTGATGCAAACATCAAGCAACAGAGGCCATTTTTTTTTTTTTTTACTGCTTCTGCTTACCCCCCCCCCCCCACCCCCCCACCCCCCACATGAGCTCATTTTGTGGCTTATGTTTCTGACCTCAGCACTGTGCCGTCCAAGTCTGAAGAAAATACTGAAAGAAAATACTGAAAGAAAAGTAGAAAGAAAAAAAAAAAAAAAGATCTTTAAAACTTTACTATGACTAAATGGAGCAGAACAGCAGGAAGCTATTTTGTCAGACCACAAAATAACTTCAAAATGAAGGATTACTGCTTGGTTTCAGAAGATGATGTTCTTAGTCCCGGAGCCGTGACTCTTTTGAAGCTATCTGAAAATGGTCTTACTTTGCCACCAACACGGCCACCTCCAGTATATTGATCAAACGCACCTCACACGCGTTCTACAAGTTTAACTTGAACAGCCTGACTCATTCTGTCTCTACATTCATGTGCCTTCCATCCACACTCTGGTAGTTCAGCAAAGCTAATGGGACGTGCATAAATGCCTTACTGACTTCACTACCTCCCAAACCAATTTTCTGAGGCAGTTAATGCGATAGTGCTTTAGCCACACGCCGTGGCGGCCTTCTCTTCTGCTGGGTAAAGGGTCGCACATTGAGCTGTCTTTAATATCGGAGGCTTTTGTCTTTATCATCCATCAATGTAAACTCTATTTAAATAAGTACAATCATGCTGTTTTTCTGTTTTGTTTTCCTTTTGTGACCCATCTTCAAGAGTGTGGAGACTCACAGTGTGTTTACATTGTAAGTGGAAGAGCTGCTGAGTTTTCTGAAGTCAATGAAGATAGTCAAGTAAAAACCTTATAACACTGTAAATAGTTCCTGTAAATATTGCGTAAAACTATCTTCAGTTCACTCTGGTGTTGCCCTTTCACATTTGTAAATTGTAATCAAGAGATGTTGTAAATATGTCAGAGATTCTTTTATTTATTTATGGAAAAACTTGAGAGAAGGTTTTTGAATGTAGTCATCTGACTGTAAATACAATAATACTATATGTTAAGGACACACCACCGTGTGTTGTTTTGGTTCCAGCTACGCCAGTATAACCATTACACTGTACAGCTGGTACCTAACTTATGTTCAATCAAAACTCTGGTCAGCTGCTCAGTTATGTATGTGTGTGTGTGTGTGTGTGTGTGTGTGTGTGTGTGTGTGTGTGTATGTGTGACATCCTGTATGAGTCACTACTGCAGCGTAGTGCTGCAACTTACTCAGAAATGCTTAAGAAACTGTCTTTGTCCCTTTACGCATTTGTTTGTTTTTCAGTGATATATAACATCATTTATTCAGCTTTTCTGTTACTATGAATCTTTGTTTTCACTGTGAGTTTAAAGCACATACTGTAAGTAGTGTGCAAAAGCAGCAAAATGTATGTACGGACAACAGCCGTTTTGTTAATGCACATTGCTTTGTTCGTTTTTTTGGCAGTGTTGGTCTTTTTCTAAATAAAAATAAAAAACTCTTTAAAAATCTGTCTTTGTCTTTACTGAGGGTTGGTTTTACTACAGAGTTTTATTATGACTGAACTGTACTGGGACATATGAGAAAAAGCGTTCTCATCCGATCCAGGCCTGATGATTAGATTATATGAGGACACAAGATATAAACTGATCTCAGTACCGAATGTCTTGCAGAGCTCTCTGCTGACAAAGCTGATCATGCCTGGTACAGTTGATGTCCATGAAACCTGTGTGTTGTCCTTAAAAACGCTGCCATTGCACTCCATCTACAACACAATACAAACGCAGAGTGGATGAGTGCTTAAACGTATCGCCATTAGACTCTGCCTTTGTCTAAAGGGCAGATTTGTTATCACATGACGGGGGATTTGATGCTCTCGTGACTGGGACGACATAAACAAATGTGTTTCCTCTCATTTGAATCATCTGCTGGTTTCACCCGATGGTTTTAGCAGCACCCACGGCGTCTTTGCTTTTAAATCTCTTACAATGATTAAACTCTCACTATCCTACTTTCATCACTAGACGTAGAACGACTACTGTATTTCTGCAGATTACTACAACATTATCTGGTGGTTTACATTCTGCTCATTTTAAATGACTAAAACTGATCTGGCTTTGGGTTTGGAAAAGATGTCATGACCAGTTTTCTTTAGATCGCTGTTTTCATAACCCCTTACTGGGATTTCCACCTTCAGTCGCGTTTTTTTTTAATCATGTTTCCCTCATTGAATAAAGAGAAATGAAACACTTATCTAGAATTCAACACAAGTCGTGTAAGAAAGAGAGGTACACGGGTACTGTTTGAATAGTCCGGGATGGCATGACACACCGATAAAAGCAAACACCCAGCAAACATCCTCTGAGTAATCTAATATACATCCTCCATAATTCATGTTTAATAATGGTTCCTCTCTCTAGAATGACAGCAGTGCTCAGCCCGCTACAGTGCATCAGAGAGCGGTGAGGGTGGTCACTGAGGAAGCAGTGGTGTGGCATCAGTAAGTAGCAGCTGGTAAGATACAGCCATCCTAACAGAAAGGGAAAGTGAAACCAGGAAAAAAGAGTCATTGCAAAAAGCTGAGTGATAAAGATAGAAACCGTGTATGTTGAGGTTTGGGTGACCCAGAGACTGTGGAGGAACAGGATTGTGATGCCAGAGGTCACGGTGTGGTTTCACCTCAAGACACACACTTTTTATAATTTTTTCTAAAAGTTCTGATCTGATGACTGAATGTAAAGGACTTGTTCAAATATGTTCAAAATCAATTATACTACTCAAACAATGGAGATGAATAGAGTTTCTTCCTAATGTTTTAGCAATGCGACCATAGTCCAGAGTTTACAGAATAAAAGCATCCTTTCTTTAAAGTTACAAGAAAGTGACTGCAGAGGAAGGGAGAAAGTCTTTTACACTGACAACAACAGTTTGAATATCTTTGAATTCAAAATCTCTCGTGATGCTCTCGTGGTTTTGCATAACAATGGTTTAGAGGTAGAAAAGAAATGAATGAAAAAGATTTTAGGACCTCGCGTTGTGTGTGTGTGTGTGACATAGAGGGCTGGGTTTGACGTCAGTGACAGCTTGTTTCACGAGGAGGCTTTGGTATGTCGTCTTTCAGGACCTGGGATCCACACTCCAGCGTAAAGGACGCCACGCCCTCTGGCATCACATCTGTTGAAGGTCAAATGGTGTCTGTAGTTCTGCACATTCGCTTTACTTTTGACTGTTTTGACATTCTTATTAAAATGCTAATTTCAACAGTTAATTAGGCCAATTGCATCGGATGCTTATGTTTCTATAGCAACAAGCAGCATCATTGTTGACAGTTTTCTATTAGCAACAAATTAGCCTGAGGCCTGTGAGGCAATAAGCAGATACACCTGAGGCTCAGGAGACAAATGACACCTGTCCCCGACTCACCACACTATTTGCATATGCTGTCACCCTATTGGCCAGCTGGCAAGCCGAAGGGTGGAGCTGCATCTCACACCACCAACACGTAGGCGAAGGGGAGTGTCCTCACAAAATTGACAGCAGAAGGTGGAGGTGGAGAGGGGGTGGATATTCCCCTGTCAGGTTGCTAAACAGGCCTCCAACCGTCCTGGATGATAAGGTAACAACAACAGCAGCCTGTCTGGCCCCTGCCTGACAACCCGAGGGCCGAACCAGCTGAACCACAGCATCTCCGGCGGGAGGATGCAACTGATACTTGTACTGTAGAATATCATGCTGAGGATGATCTGCTGTATCCCTGAAAGTCATGAGCAGCTCTGCTGGGTATCCAGCATCAATTCCAAAACTAGCACTCGAAAGCCGTCGTCGTGGGTTCATATCACAGGAAATCTCACTAATATCTCTTTCAATCGAAGCCGCCATGCTGAGCTCAACTGCTCTGAGCCCGACAGCATCGCTCCACTTTAAACAGAAGAGCACTTAAGTGGTTCTCAGGAGACTAACCAGAGGTTACAGAGTACAGTACTGTCTTTCCCATGGCACCAATCTGTGATGGATTTAAGGTCGTCTTTGCGTTCAGATGTTTTAAGAAACCCAGTTCACCTCATCTGAGCCCATGAGGTCACCCTTATGAGCCGGGGCATGAATAGAGGTTCTCCCCCTCTAAAAGAATATACCTCTCGGCCTCCATTTTTTTATTCTCTGTAATAATCCTCTTGGAATTACTGTGGAGCATCAAATGTTTGCTTGTGGAATTGCAACTAACAATAATTTTTATTTGTTAGTTAAATCTGCAGATATCAAGAAAGTATCAAGAAATTTGAAAACCTGGAAGCAAAGTGTGTTTGTCATTTTTGCTTAAAAGTGCTTGAACCAATCAAGCAATCGAAAAAAAGTTGCCAATCTTTATGAGGCAATCAACTTTTTATCATTCCATCTCCTCTGCCTTTCACCCACCTGTGCTCGGTGCAGTAGTACATTTTAAGACCGAAACCGTACCGATTGCCGGCTAATGCTCATGCCATGCCATGAGCTAACTTGAATTCCAAAGGGATGAGTGTTTAGAATAATATTGAAGTCATGTGTTTACAGGAAGGAAACAGTATAAGGGAAACCTCCTGTTTAAAGTGCGTCAAAGACAGTGTAATTCAGTTGGAGATGCAGCAAGAAAGAAAAGAAAAGTCACATTTGTTGTTGGGTTTTTTTCATTTTGGCTGACTTTGAAGTGTTTGCATATGTCTGTGTTGGACCTCAGCCACCATAGAGATATCCCCTATTATCCAGATCACATGAGCCAGTGAGGGAGAGTTAAACACACAACCGTTTTGGGAATAACGGTGATGTTTACATTAAGAAAGCTCTTCTCTTAACTGCAGATTGATTTGGGCCGATGTGAGATCGACATTCAAAACCCTAAATATTTGTAGATACTAACCTCAACTGGAAAAAAAGTTATACAATGCTGACAAATTGGAAAGTGGGTGAAATGTCTTGTCTTTTAATAAACTGTGTCAAACAGAGCGACTGGTCTCCCGCAGCACAGAGTCAGTTTTGAATGTTGCTTTAGAAAGGTCTTTATGATAGCCTTACTGCAGCTCATTTCCTGTGTGAACACAACATGTTAAAGGTGTAGCTATCTCATTTACAGCTCAGAGTGCAGATAAGGAGAACCAAACCTATATGGACAAAAGGAGTGGGATATTGGAAAAGACTGATCTCCATCTGGCCCTCAGAGACACACATTCACACGCCTCTGTTGTGGTGTGTTATTCTGAGTCCTTCCTGATAAGAAGCGGACCAAGGAGTATGGTCGGAGGCTGGGCTCTGGGGCATAACACCACGC